GTCCTTTCTTCTTTCCTGAGTGATGAACTAATAATAATGTTGTGCAGGCAGATAAAACAGAGCCTTGGGTGTTCCTGCTTTGGCAGAAGTCTTAAAATCCCTCTTTACAGCTTTTAGATTTTTATTCAATCACTCAGATTGTTTTTTTTTTTAAAGTCAATATTTAGTCTATCTTAGAGCTTTTCTTTGGCTGCTTTTCTAAAAATAAACCATAACCGGTTTGTTTGCTCCTGAAAAACAAACAGATAACATCCCTACTTAAATGTTCAGGCACCATCCCTCGACGGAACAACTGCTGGCTGGATTATAGCTGCTACAGAGCGTTGAATTAAATAATCTGAGCCTTCATTTCTCTGTGTCTTTAGGTGTGTTGACACCTGAGACTAAAAGCAAAGAAAAAAACAGCAAGAAGCACAAGAGGAAGAGCAGCGACTCTGACAGCAGCAGCAGCAGCAGCATCAGTCAGGACAAACGGGTCAAAACAGAAGAGGTGACCTCTCAGCTGGTGAGAGGAGCTGATGAGACGACTTCAGTGTTTCTTCCTTCTGCTCTCCAAAGTTGTGATGAATTAAAAGGCTTTTGTTCTCTGATTCGCAGCATGTGGACGAAGATCTGCTGCAGGACAACAAGCCGGCCCAGTCAGATGGACCCTCCCAATGCAGCTGTGAGTTCCTACTCTATAATCAGCCTCCTGGCATGTATGAAATGAACCCACTGAAAACTGATCTCAGTTCTTCCTAGTCATATATTTAGACACTATTACACTTGTGCTCTCACTTTCACTCATAAAAACACCCATATTAACACATAAAACAATGGAAGTATATGTATAGAATCAGAATAAAGTAGCTGTTCAAACTCACACCACTGAAGCCAAACATTCCTGCATTCTGTTCCAGAAGCTAAATGTTAGCCTGCCCCATTGGTGTCTGCCTTAACCCATTTTGATGAGTGGTTCCTAATAGATAAAATGGATATATCGGTCATAAACAGACTGGACGGCTTCCTCCAGTGAAAAAAATACACAACCAGAGTCAGGAAAGAACATTTACATAGATCCTAGTTATTAAATGGTAGCTGTGTTTCCATCAATGTTTTTTTATATATACATTTTAAAAGTATTGCAATAGAAAAGGTTGATGACAAAAAAAACTTTAAATTGTTTAAAGCATGCTCTTTTAAAGTGGTTTTTAACTTTTTAGGAAAATAGTTCATGTGCTTTAGATGGAAACTTGCTGAATAGGTTCAGTTTGTTCACCTCAAAACTGTAGATGGAAACATGAAAAGTTCTCATTTTTATTTTTTTGTGCTTTTTGGCAGAATTGTAATAATTTCATCAGATTGCATAAAGTCAGGGACTTGCAGCAATTCTCTTACTGAGCATGCATTTAGTGACAGTGGGAAGGTATACTCTGCTTTGGTAGAAGAAACCTCCAGTAGAACCTGGCTGAGGATGAAAGGCCTTCTGATAATTTGACTGGATGATCTGGTGAACTGTAAAGTACCTTGAAATGACGTAGTGTGAAATGGTGCTATTCGAATAAACTGAATTGAATTAAATATCTCTTAGGAATCTCACAGATACATGAGATATGTCTCCAGTTGCCTAAAATCAACTTTTCAAGCCCTCTAATATGGCTGAAAATGATTTTAAGCAGACAAACAAAGAGAACACAGAGCACAGCATATTAAGTTGGTCGCAGTTAAAGCTACATCTTGTATGTCTATGTGTGGCAAAGTGGTCCCTATGTCCTCCAGCACTCTAAGCTTGTAGCAGCATTCCTATAGAGATAGCTCGGAATAACCTGAGCGACTCTAACTATAGGATTTATAGAAACAAAAAAGGAAAGGGTGTCTGCCTCACGGACTAAAACTGGTAGTTGGTTCCACAGGAGAGGAGCCTGATAACTAAAAGATCTGCCTCCCATTCTACATTTTTTTAATTCTAGGAACCGCTAGAAAACCTGTAGATGGAGAGTGAAGTGCTCTGTTAGGAACATAAGGAACAATCAGATCTCTGATATAAAATAGAGCTTGGTTATTTAGGGCTTGACATGCGAAAGGCATGATACAGCCACCCCCATGCATTTTTATATGTATTTTTTTTAAATAAAGCTAAAGAGAACAGCAGCAAAGGGAAGATATAAGAATTCTGTTTTATCATGCATCAAGCTTTTCATTAATTTATTCTTACCTCCTCCCCTTCCTTTGTGCAGCTGTGGATGAGATCAGGTTGGATGTTCGGATTGAGGAGAGTCTCCCCGCTACTCAGGGAGGTAAGGATCATTTACAGAACCACAGCTGAAAAAGAGAAATGTTGGTTTAAACCTGGAGCTCTAACTCTCTCCTGCTGTTTCCAACAGACCAGGACTCCTTCAGCGTGGCGGTTCATTATATAGGTCAGGAAGTGCTGAAACGCTCCATCTGCGGGCCTGATGTTCGCATCGTGTACCTGCCTTCCTCCTCCATTCCTCCAACTCCGGCCGCTATGAACGTCAGGTTCCCTCGCATCCTTCTGCCGGAGCCGCCGTCCACGCTGCCGGCCGGTGGGGAGCTGCAGGCGCTCTTCACTCTGCTTCCCTTCATGGAGAAGGGGATCCTGCTGACATCCACGCAGCAGGGAGTATACGGCAAGAGGTACTGCCAGGGTCGGATCTTTTGGACGGGGCCGCACACTACCACCCCTGGCCTTCACCGCATGGAGCGGAACACGGAGCCGGTGCTCCTCTTCAGCAAAGAGATCTTCAAGCAGCGTGAGTGGAGCAGGGGAAACCAGTGCATACTTCATTTACCATATTTTCCAGACTATAGAGCTCACCTCACTATAAGCCCACAACATTTTTTGAAAAAACTCGAAACAAATATATAAGTCGCACCGGGCCGATATCTACTGAACGGTCTCCCACCAAACCTGTAGGGGGAGCTCTGAATATAGCCCCTGGAGGAGGGATAAAGAGGAATGCTAGCTCCCGTTAGCTAGTAAGCTCGCAGCAATAAGAGCTTCTACTGAAAGATGGGGCTTCGTCTGCTCTTTATTTCAGCTCTGCAGGAGTTGAGCCCAGTCTCTTTATTGGTTCGGCAACTTGTGAAAATGTGTGAATTTGGGACATCTGTTCTCTGTGCAAAATGAAAATTAGCTCTTTATTCTCCCCCTCTGGCGGTTAGGAAAAATCCACTGAAAGGCTCAGCTTCTTAAAAGCTGCATGGTTCAAAGCGTGGGAAAAACGTAGTGGCTTATAGTCCCGAAAATATGGTACTATGAAGGAAAGTCATTAAATCAGTCATTCCTACATCCAGCCACAGGTGTAACTTTCTGAAGGACTGGTTTGGACATGTCCCCTCCAAAACTGACCTGGTGTGGACATGTCCCCTCCAAAACTGACCTGGTGTGGACATGTCCTCACCAATGATTTCCTCTGTTTTTTTCCCCTTTCTGCTCATCTTCTTTAGCCAAAGGTAACAGAGGTTGGGTGCAGCTATCTGTTTTCAGACTGTTTTGAGTCATTGTTTTTTTTCTTCTGTCGCGCTCCTCCAGTGTCCCGCCTATTGGTGTACCATCATCAGATCTGTCGCTTTGAGACATCTGATTAGCCGTTGCATTTCACTGCGTAGAGAGTAGCTAGGTGGTCTAGGGAGAGACACAGCAGCACTCACTGAATATTAACCAGCAGCTACTTTCATGTTTAAGTAAAAAAATAGAGAGATACCACCGAAAAAATCCGTTCGTTAGACATACAGAGCTTGTTCTGCAGAAACGGCAACATATTATAATTTTATACAACTTAGTAATATAACGCAAGAAGCTTGAGAAAAAATAATTAAATGTTCTTCTTTACCAGTTAAAAAAAGCTTGGCTTCTCAGAGGACCATGACTCCCAGTTACAGGTTAAAATTAACATGTTTTATTATTATACAGATAGAATCAGACTGCAGAGCTTCTACATATCTTGAAATTTACAGTAGTTTCTGGCATCATTATATTAGGAAAGAAATTCATAAATCTTTTTAAACAAGAGCACAGAGAGAAGTAGGGAGAGCTGCAGATTTAAAGGGGAAACAGATTCTTTTGAGGCACTAGGCTTTGGAGCGGATTTGTTTTTCTTCAACTCTTCTGTGCTGTCTGCAGCACAATGTCCAATCCCCTATTTTCACAGATCTGTTTTTCCATAGGGATCACATGTAATTAATACGCTGCCTTTTTTAATTCTAAAGTGGCAGTTAAATTTCGCAAGCGGCTGTATTTTAGCTTGATTTTTGAACGTGAAGTTGCATACTTGGGCTGTTTCTCCAATAAAACCCCTTATTCTGAGAGGTCAGGGTAATCCTGTCTAACTCAGTGTGTGAGCCAGTGTTCTGTCAGACCAGCATACCCATAGTCAAAACCCGTTTAGCCCTTCAGTTTATCACTTTATTTTTGTATGAAATATACACTTTAAACTAACTCAACGGTCATGCATCCCTAGTCATGTACAAAAAAAACTATTTAATTACTTACTTTTTGGGGGTTTTTTTAAGCTTATGTCGAACTAAGCTTAAATAGTTTTTTGTACATGACTAAAGGGATACACGCCTTGAGGTAGTTTAAAGTGTATTTGTTATACAAAACTAAAGGGATGAACCTAAAACTATGCATATGCAGGGGAGTCACCAGGAATGTGGGGCCCCATGAAAGACATTGATGTTGTGTGGCTGCTTCAGGCGGCTCATGAGAATGAGCTCAATGTCAGGAACGGCATTGAGTTCAATGCTATTCCTGAAACTTTAAATTAAAAAAGCTTCCTGGATGGGAAGCAAAACGTCTTTAAACTCGGAAACAAAGTCTGGATTGTTTTTAAATGTTCTTTTTTGGAATGACTATGACCTGGATGACTGCCAACCTTCACCGGCGTAACCTGGTTTGTTTCTGGTGTCTCGGCAGAGCTGGACGATTACCGAGCCAATGGCGGCGAGCCTCCTCAGTGCGGCTTCACTCTGTGTTTTGGAGAGGAGCTCAGCAACGCTGAAGATCCATCTCACAAACTGATCATAGTTCAGGTAAACAATCGAACCTGGCTACACTGCCTGATGCTAGATTCAAACAAATAATTGTCATCAAGAAAAAGAAAGAAAGAATGAAATTAAACACAATACTGTATTCAATTTTAAAGTAACTTTTTTACAGTGCAAAATCCCTGCATTGCTGAAACTTTTATCTAAATGCCCAAATACCTTGTGAAGACATATTTTTTCTGATTAGAAATATAAAGCGTTCAACACAAAGCAAAAGATTTGTCTCTTTATTTTAGATCACCCTTCCATGGGCGGAGCAGCAGGTGGAGGACGCCCTGTCTTTCTACAACACCATCTCAGTCTTCCGGACGTTGGCCAGCCAGTCTCCGCTGGGAGAGATCACCCTCAACCTCGTCACGGTGCCACCCTCCGAGCTGGTCGCCTGTCAAACCCCCTGAGGGCTCCAGAGAGCCGTCTCTCCAAACCAAGCATTCCCAGCTGAAACCACGCTGACACATCTGGAGCTTAAAAGCTGATGTGAAAATAAAAGCCTCTGTTTAAGGCTGAAAAGACAGACCTAAAGCTTTTAAAGAAAAATCTGTTTAACTTTGCAGCTAAGAGCTTTGGGGTAAAAATTCTCCAACTGGGATCAAAGCTTTGGAAACACTACAAAAAGAAAAAAAAAGTTGGAGGTGATCTTTATAAGGAAAACAATAGTTTATCTTTGCCTTTTTGTTAAGGTGCTCCAAAGACTTTTTAAAGGATGATAAAAAGTTAAACTGCCGTTTAAAAACAAGCATGTTTATCGTACTGTACTATATCCAATCATAGCGTAGATTCATAGCTGCCGCCATTAGAGCAGATTAGCAGGTTACTTCTCTGTTCAGTTCTAGTGTGAAAGGAGCACTTTTAAAGCTTAGTGTGAAACACAAACTCTTGTTTTTCTGTTATATCTTCTGTTAGATCTTTTTACTGTGAACTTTATTAAAGTAGAGCTCAGTTCCTGCATAGATTTTCTATTTCAAATTTGATTTATTTTTCCCACATTCAGAGGATTAATTAACTGATTTTTTTTCAGACTTAAGAGAAGCTGACAGCTACTGCAGAGTAAAATAATCTGAACAGTTTGAAATATGCTGAATGTGAGGCACATTTTGGTGAGTAGTTCTATTCAGGCAGAGTACAATGCAACAGCCCATTAGAAAGTGAAGTTCTGGCTTAAGTTTGTTATTTAAATGTACTATTTTATTAAAAGTTTGCATTTTTATTCATGTTTTAGCATTTATTTAATCCTGGGGTCCGTTTCATGAAGCAGGTTTACCGAAAACTCTTAGTTAAACCTGAAATCAGAGTTTTCCGTTTCACTGTTTATTGAACCTCTGTTTCAGTCACCATAGTAACAGTTTTGTGCATAAAAAGATTCACTAGGTCCATTAGACACATTAGGTTTTAAAAACAAAAATTTCATGTCCATTTAATTAAAGAATGATCAGAATTTTTTTTTTCACAGAGAATAACATTTTTATAGGGATTCTACAGATCAGTTGACAGGATATGAGATCACTTGTTCTTGGTTTGTTTAATATGAGCGAGATGCGGATCATTTTATTTTTATTTAGTTATATCTACAGTACATGAAGAACTACTGAAATTATTTTCAGATTACACGTAAATAGATTGAATAATTCTGAGGGGGGGGAAAGGAATAACTTTAGGGTTTGGATTAGGATCCACTTGATAACATAATGAGCCTACTGGCCCAATCTGAAGTCATTCTATGGGTCTGATAGCCGCTAATAACAACCATTTATTGAGATAACATCCGAAGTGCGGCTGCAAACAGCCACTGATATGTTGTGTAAAAGAAGACATGAAGGACGCATAAAACTATCCACAGGTTCTATATATTAGAACGTCTTTAGACTTCATCACCTGCTGCCAGAAGATTTCATCTAAATAGATACATTGATCTACTACCATTCAAGAAATAGTCCTTAATATTATGGCGTTCACAAAAGTCTATGGCAAGCCATTTTCATATGAAGTTTACCGAATATGTATTCCTGATATCTGAAAAAAACTTTCCATTTCAAACAAAATGTCATTCTCCTATCTAGAATACATTATGGATGTCTAGAAATTAATTTCAGATCTCCATTTCCTAACATTACTGGTCAGGATTTGCATTATTTTTACTATGAAAAAATGTTTTGTCTGTTTGGTGATCATTGATGAATCATGTCAAGCTTCTAAATGTCAAAACAGACATTTCTAGATAAATGGTGACTTGTCGAATCAGTGCTCCACTGATGATGGCTTTTCATCATCATGTGCTAATCTCTGAGTGGTTCTACTTGGAATTGATTGAACTCATTCATAGCGGCTGTGGTAAAACCGAAAACTCAGATTTCCCAACTTTAGGCTAGATGGATTTAAGAGTTGCAGATATGAATCTGAATTTGTTAAACCTGCTTCGCACACGGACCCCTGAGCTGGTGCCAAATCTCGGTGAGCTGGATCTCATGTTACAATGCTGAATTTTGGGAATGACAAACAGTTTTTAGAAGTAATTCTTTCAAAACCATCTCTCTCTGGATGAGTTTGGTGAATAAATTGCAGTTCCAGCTTTTCTTCCCCATTTTTGAGGAGAAAAAAAAACTAGACAAGCTTTTTTAACAGTGCGTCTCAGGCAATTCATTAACTTTGTTTTACTTTTCTTTCAGAAAATTACAAAAAAAATAAAACTCAGAAATGAGCTAATCTGAATGTGGGAAACAAACATTGAAGGCAGTCTGAGCAGAAACCATGTCTGATGTTGGTGTAAAATGTAAATACGGGCATATGGCACTAAAGCTTCAAAATGAAGCTAATTAGATTTAACTCCTTTCAAAGGTTTGCTAGAGTTCATATATTAAAGGAAGCAGATTTTTATTTGAGCACTTAATATGAAGTACTAGAGAAGTTCATGCTAAAAGCTACATAATCCAGGACTGAAACAAGCATGAAGCTCATTTTCTATCTATTTGATACAGATGGAATAAAAAAAAGGTGTTTATTAGGGTTAAACAGTCGTAACAAATACATTTAGAGACAGAAATAAGAGGGTGTGAATAATTAAGCACATCCTGCTAACCTGTTAGCTTACAAGCTCAGTAACATTTTTTTAAATTAAACATTTAGGGCTTAAGTTAAACTTTAAAAGTTATATTTTTTAGTAGAAAAGCTACCATTGTTTCCTGGCAAATGGACATGCTGCCGTACAGGAAGAATGAGGTGGAACTAGAAATAAAAACAGGAGGATTTTTAGTGTTAAAATTAGATTTTTTTACATTGAATTTGGAGTTAAACACGTCTGTTTCTGTGGTTGGCACGTGGAGGAAATAGAGATCAACCGAGATGTAAATATTTCATTTGTGCATGTTTGTCTTTGTTCTTCCAGGAACAAAAATAAAATTATTTTTCCTGGGCTCTGCTTTCCTGGGGGTGTTTGTGTCGGGCGGGGACGGGGCATCAGATGGTGCCGTTGGCTGGCGAGGAGAGTTCTGCTATCTTGGCGTTGAGCGTCTGATTGGTCCAGTCCTTAGTGATGTCGTCCAAATGGCCGTCAAAGTCAACCAACATGGCGTGGTCCCCGGATTCCAGCATCTGGCTGGCTATGGCCCGTGTCTCCTCCCACTGCCGCAGCATGATCCTGCAGAGGAAGTGACATCAGGCGACATGAGGGGCAGCAACCATTGTAAATGAAAAACTTCAGTGGACAAAAAAGTGCTTGATTAAAACAAACTAAGAGGAAAAAAATCTGATGTTTTGAGAATAATTTCTGTGGTTTGAATAGATGAGCTTCTCTGGAATTACTTTTCCTTTAGCTAGCTCAGTCAAAATCTTGTCAATTTCTCTTCTTCACGTTTTGATGCTTAAAGTAGTTGGTTTAAAATGCATAATTTTGAGGTGGGAGGAAGTTAAAAAACTGTTTCCCCATTTTTAAAATCTGGAAAATGTTGCATGCTTTAGCTATAGTCAGATTTAATAGCTCAAAGGTCTGTTGACCTTCAGACTGATTTAACAGCCTGATGATGCTCTCACCTATGCCCTCTGCTGGCCATTCTACAGATCCTTACTCTTTGCAAACCAAATGATTTCTGCTCATGTCATTTGTTTACATCACATACAAATATATTTTCCTAAATCTCTCAGAAAATTCTTATTTCAACTTTTCTCATAAGCAAATTTTAAATTAAGGGACGTGTTTAGTCAAATGGATCGCCAGTCAGAATCTGGTTTACTTCCCAACTGGAATACTTTTCATACTTTTCTCCCTAGATCAGGGGTCTTCAACGTTTTTCCAGGCCAAGGACCCCCAAACTGATGGCGAGATGGAGCGGGGACACCCTAATTATATATAATGTATGAAATTGTGTTACATATCAAACTGGTCCTATAGTCACTCTATTACAGATGGAGTCATGTAATGAAAGTAATTCCTCACTGGGATTATTTAAGTATTTCTGATTCTGAATCCTGGTTGATGGGACAGGTGTTGTGAAGGAAACGGTGCCCAGCTTGAAAGAGCTCCTGTGTGTCACTGAATGTGTGCATTGATGACTGAAAGACATCTTCTGCCTCCATTTATCTGTTTACTACAGTGTGTTGAATTCATGTTAATGTGGATTTAAAGACATTTCAATTAGTGGAAAAAATTGCAGAGGGGAGTATTAAAAAAAAAAGAAAAAAAAAAGTCTAATCAAAAATGTTGCAAACCCCATGCGGTACCACCGCGGACCCCCTGTTGAAGACCTCTCTAAGCTATTGTTTTCTCGTTTGTAGATTCGTATTGACTTTGACTCCAGTAGCAGGCTACATACTGAGTGTTTTGATTTTATTTCAGATGCCGCCTAAGCTCCACTCATTTCTTACGTGTGTTTGTCTTTCAGGACCCATTTTGAGTCTTTGCGCTCGTACATGACGATCGGTGGAACTCGATAATCTGGAGACATCTTACTGCCGTCCAGCTGCAAGGAGAGGGAGACAAATTCACAGCGGTCAGTCGTTGAAAATCCTCGTCCATCCCAAAGGCATAATTCAAGCAGTCTAATTTCTGTAATTCCTACCATTAACAACACTGCATTCTCAAACTGCTCGGCGATCTTATCGGCTATCTTCAGAGCGCAGGGCGTCGGGCTGCAGACAAACACAGGAAAATACAAACCTGAGTACCGGACAGTACAGAAGAACAGCTTTAATCATGGAGCTTATATGAACTCACCTGCTGTCTGATGCACAGGCGTTGGCTTGATAATATCCTACTATCCTTTGTTGAGTCTGAGAGCACCAAACATCCACCTGGTAAACAAAAGAGCAACAACTGGTAGTTTAGTCATTTCATTTCAAAGGACTTCCCCAGGTGGACACACATCTGGCGTTTGAAAGGCCTCTAAAGATCCCATTAAATAACTGATTTATCCACACTTACTAACGATAGATAGATAGATAGATAGATAGATAGATAGATAGATAGATAGATAGATAGATAGATAGATAGATAGATGCTTCTGTAGATGCTGATCGCTCAGAATGGGGCCTCATCTATTGGAACATCATGTTTTAAAGTTAAACAAATAAAATTACATTAATAACAAAAACAAAAAGCTATTTTAAGATCTTTTTAGATCTCACTAGGACTTAAAATCTTACAAAACAAGTCAAAAATCGCTTAAATTGCTGCTATTAATAGCTAATAAAGTTAATTGTTCAGGAGCTAAGTCTTACCGGAAAATGAAATAAGTGTCACATCAAAAAACTTATGTTTTAAGGTAGGCTTCTGGTACCTTCTACCATTGCTGCTACTCTTTTTCCAACCACTTTTTCCTTCCACTCAACTTTCCCTGGTTTTACTTAGAGCAGTCTGTTAATAATTAACTTCAGGGGTGACATTAAGATTTGCCTTCCTGTGAGGGTGTCAGTGCCCGTCTTTTGGAGAGCATCCTTCCTTTTGATGTCATAAAAATATACTATAGTTCACCTGAATGCACATTTGTATCAATTATGACCCTAAGAAACACAGTAACCCTCCTCTTATTCTGAATCTCCATATAATAGACTGGGATCCTTTAAGAAGTGGGCCAGGAACACAGCAGTAAGACCCAGTGTACCTGAGTGAGGGCCAGCTGGGTGATGGGAGCAAGAGGCAGGTGGGAGTGAAGCAGCGGCACGCAGTCAGTAACGCAGACAGCGCCCCCTGCCGGACCTGAAGAAAGCAACAGCCCGTTGACGCTGCAGCGGGGGAACAGGCAGGAATGAAGGTACATCTTCACATAAGCCAGACAGGACAGCTCCACCTCACCCATGGTTGGAACTGCGGAGGTGCAGCACAGCGTTAATGCAACATAGGAGGACTGAATTCACACGGAAACCGACCTTCCCCTATAAGCAGTGCTATATTTACCTAGAAATAGACCCAGAAACGTCCCGGTTTGGCTGCTTTGACAGCCGGATGAGAGTCCTGTAATGTCCTGTGGTTAGCATACAAGCCAACTCGGTGATTCACGCGGCTTTATATCCAAGTTGGATCACCTACAGATGTTATTAATACACAAAAATGTCCTAAAATAGCAGATAAAGGACTTTATGAATCCGACAAAGGTCTATTTCACAGCTAACAGTCTCACGAATGAATGGCGTCTCATCCGCAGTTACTAGCCCCGCCTACAGGAAGCACACTCTGATTGGTTACCAGCTCCTCTTCTGTAATCTGATTGGTGCAGAATCAAGTCTCCCTGTTCTCGCTTTAAGCGTCATTTCCAACAATGTGCGCCCTCTATAGGAGAGGAAGAGAAACAATCCCGCTCCACAAAAACATG